ACCCTCACAAATTGCCATTATTTTCAAAGCCTCACCAACTAAATAGCAAATTTGACTACCGTGTCAAAATTGTCTAACTAGACTTTTCCAGCAGCACAATATATGTCATGATTCAATTGTTGTAGAATGGTGCTAAATAGTAATGGCATTTAAATAAAAAGCAATAAAAATTAGTTCGCTGTGTCTCGTTTCACACCGACCTACCTACCTACCTACCTAGTAAAATACGATATACGACGGTGATGTTTGTAAAACTCTACTCACTGACAGTGCAGCGACAACGTCAACACTTCAATTTGATCTTCATTGAAGTTTCCAGCACTGAAATTTCTATAGCAGTTAAACGATCAAGCTCACGATAGATACCGTAGTTAATGTTGCATGCGGGCCCATGCTTATATTTGTATATTATTTTATATATATATATATATATATATATATATATATATATATATATGAGTATAAGGTTTAAAAATTGCTCATTGTGCACCTCCCTCATATATTAGAAGAGCGATTCCTGACGATGAACACCTTCCCTATACGATGCCATTTACAAGAAAAGCAAACGTCAGCTGCCACAGTGATGCTGAGCGCTGTTTCGGTGAATGATTGCAAATCAATAAATAAAAATTTAGAAGTGATAGCAGGAACAGTCACAGTGCTAAATTGGAAACGTTCAATAATTAAAATGACGTCACGTACAAGATATTCGTTAGCGAAATTAGATAGTATCGTTACTATTACCACATAAGACACACGATGTAATGAATTAGTTTAATGCTAGTGCCGGCAGTGATGCCTGGTGACCGTTGTTTGCCAGTTTGATACCATGGATTGTGATCTCCAGACCCCGAAAGTCCCCATTGCTTGCTCACCAGGATTACCACCAATACTGCTACCTGTCTAAATGATTGATAAACGTTATCCCAGATGTAAAGGATTTCGAGGCATCTATTTTGTTGGACGCCTCACGATATGTAGCTTTTCGTACGTATATAAACATTCAGCATTGATGAAATGTAACCCAAATTGTTCCCTCGTACGTTCATAATAAAAGTGCGATTTTTTTAGGCACATATATATATATATATATCCAAGCGCCATTTGAATAGTGCGTACCATCTTGCATCTTCACATGTGTCGTATATTGTTTAATATCCGAACCTCAAAGCAACATTGTCATCAGTAACATCAACATGTTAACAAGCCACAGCATTACATACGACAATCGTCGTATGTCCGTAGGCAGTCCGTTCAGGGTCGCGCTCTTATGATAGAGCAAACACAAAACGTGGCCATTTCCGTTTGAGAACATTTTTGTAGACCCAAACGTATCGATACAACGGCAACGACGGCAGTCGTATTTAAACTAATTAACAACACCTGCATTCGATGCCGGCAATGGAGGAGTAATTGCGCTACTAACTAGTAACGCGCCATGTATCTTATTAAAATTCTCTTGTTACCCCCTTGAACACGACGGGAGGGGAGGGGGAGGGGGTGGGTCACCCCCTGAAAACGAATATGCAGCTGGATAGCTTTTAAATTTTACCTAATTAAATTTCACGTTCCCCTTTCCGAATAAATTTCATTGCCTATCTACCAATGCCTAAATAAACTATTCCAGGCAAACTATGCCAGACTATTCCAGGGCAAAGTGTAAACGTTAACGCATCTATTAGACGTGTTCACGCATTCAAAACTAAAGTGATTCATTTTATTCATCATTTTGGCTTTCAGTGCGCAAAGAAAGATACGGAAAAGCACATAGCACAAACAAAAGCTGCGCATTTTGTTATGTTACCCCCTGCATTTCTGAAGACACCGCCCTGGTCGACGCAATCGATCTTTGGAGAAGCTGCCCAAAGTTAGCGGATGCGATTGCCAGTAGAAAAATTAGATTACTTCGTAAATTTGAATTTCTGGGTCCCAGCACGAAACAAAGCCTGTCTGTTTGTCTACGCCCGAAATACATACGATATGTTTGCCATCGCATAACAATAATAATGAACTTCTATTCGTTTCGCTGATCATCACCATGCAAGAAGAAAGAGACACTCCTTCATGGACAAAGTTCGTTAAGACTGCCCCTACCTCCGACACCTCTTGTTTACACAGGAAAATATACGAAAAAACAGCATAGATGGTTTCATTAGGTCTGAATGTCGTTGTGCCTACAACGAGAAATCGTAACGTTTGCCACATGGTCATCAATAAACGACCGCTTTTAATTCCTCACAGAATCACGCCGTAGTGTGTCGCATGCGTTGACATATAAAATAAACGTCTTCTAATATACTGCTGAGATCTGTCCTCAAAAATAGATAGATATAGTCACCAATGGCGCTTATTAGACAATTGCACAAAGCAGAGTGATGATATCGTTGTTTAATGACAAAAAACATGAAAGCGAATAGATAGTGGCAACGAAATTAGACGGTACATTCCAATATGTTACAAGTTCGATTTCTGAGAAGTTTGCCCTCTTTAACGTTTGCCTATCGGCCGTAATCCGCATATCACGCAACGATTAATCAATACGAAGATTTCGATCCAATGACTGTAATAATGGAGCTGCGACAGAAAATCGATTATCGATGATGATTCTGCCTGCTGTCACTACGGCAGTAAACGCAAATAAATGATACTCGCATAACGCAGACGGCAATGGCTTCGGTTGAACCGTAAACAGCCGGTGATCGGTCACAGTGACGGACCACCGTCCCGCCTGCGCCCTCAACCGGTAAAGGTACCGCTGGCCTAATATGTACAATAACAACACCCCCCAGTTTAGTGCTTGACGCGCACACAGTAAGGAGCTTATTCTTTTTCTGCAACAAAGGCAAGACGACGCTGCCATCCTTGTTTGACAATTATGCAATAAGGGAGCTGCCCACACCGGTACGAGCCGGCGAAAATGTGGAACACTGCACTCCTGAAACGCTTGAAAGGCTTTCAGTTAGAACGCCATCCGACGATAATAAAAAACTAATGAAATCAGAGTTCAGCATATTGGCAGGCTATAGATGCCGGTGGCGAGTGATTTTAGATTCCTTTATTTAGCATTTTGAGCATTTTTCTAAGAACTTTCATTCTTGCAAATGGGTATATTGTCTTTTGTCTCTCTCTCTCTCTCTCTCTCTCTCTCTCTCTCTCTCTCTCTCTCTCTGTCTGTCTCTCTTAATAGAACATTTTGAGCTTTTAGTCTCGCAATATGTGTGACCCTAATGATTAATTGTCCTTGCCTACAGTAATCCTGTCGTAGTAATTATAAGCACAGCCATAGCAATAATAGCATGAACACCGGTCATACTGGCAATCTTTTTTGTCTATTACCGGTGTACGTTTTCAGAGAGGGAGCGCATGGCGCAATCTCCAATGTGATCCAATTATGACTGCGCATATATATATGTGCAGTCATATAATATATATAAACCACAAAGACACACATGTATATATATATACCTACGTGGTTTATTTGAAGTAGCTTAGTTAGCTTAAGAGTGAAATGCTATTTTTTGTTGATTTTAGCATCGGATACAGACAGTTTCGTATAATGGCGACATGCCAAGCAAAAGCAATGGATTTTGAAATAGTCTGCTTTTGAATATACAAGTAGTACGAACACCTACATCTGTGTAGACCTTACGGACTATGTGCCGTACGTATTTATTTCCCAATATGAGCCGTGACACAATGCAAATGATATTTATGTGAATAGATCGCCGATATACACGAGAAAATGAAAAACTCCGTTCAGACAATGCGTAACGTAATTATAGTGAAAATTCGTTATACGTCTGTATGCGCTTGGCCCCGAGATATTGGCGTGTTTTTATAAGGCCAAAACAGTTGAGGCACTGGTCAAATTGTTTCTTTCGTAACACAACACAATTGAAACTACCGATGTATCCAGTTGAAATATTTATCTCTCCGTAAATAACTGTTTTTTTTTTTGTGAAGATAGTAATTAAAGGCCTAATGATAGAGCCGAAAATTCGCGTGCAAACAACCGCTTATTTACTGCAACAGTAGCAGATCATCATTTTTTTTTGCAAAGTCTAAACACTGACACCCCTAGCGAGACGTCAATGTACGCCGCGACAACTTCCAGTTTGTTCAAAACATCAATATAATTAGTTGATTACATTTTGTAGGTTAAAAAAAGAAGTTCTAAATTAGCATTACGGCGGTTGTTCGAAATCTTTAAAGTTACTATGGCTAAAAATGTTTACGACTCTTTCGACCGACAGACTAGCTCAATGCACATCCCAATTGCACTGCAGTTTTCCCACTTAAAAACGTTCCTTTTAATCTGTAGAAAAAAAAAGCTCCCAGACACCATTCGGTCGTGGTAACCGTTATAATTGAAGATAAATATTTATAAAATTCGATTGCGATCTGTGATACTATTGGTTAACGAGCTCTATATGTACACTAGTTGAATTCCGTACCGTTGTGTTTTTGCCAAGAGAAGTTTTAGACAATGCAAATGATCCCAATTTTTGTTATAAAAATATTTTCCGAAACATAAATAATCATAAAGCTCTGTCATCTTCTTCAAATATCAAATAATGAAATATAAGATCGAAAGCATTCTGGAATCCACGGAAATAGCGACAACTTTATGATGGATTCGGATATATTGCCGATATACGACTAACTTATTAACAACTCAATGTAGCAAAGTTATCTGCGCTTAACAAATAATTGAAGGGAAGCATGAGTAAGCGCCCTATGCTGATTCTCGGACACCCTTTGTTTTGGAAAATGATAGGCCACAAAGACAAAGTATTTCACAAAGTAAATAAATTGCTTTCAAATTTCCGGGCCGTATCTTCCAGGATTAGAATCAAAAATGCTATTTAGGTTCGCTAAAGAAGAACCAAAAAAGTTTCTGCACACCATGCATTGTGGTGTCACATACATACCATATAGCTGGTATGTACAGGATGATCTATAATCAAAATGATACTTTTGACGTATTTCTAGCTACCTACCATGGACAGTCTCCTGGCGGTAACGTCCGCAGTAGAATTTGATGTGTGCGAATTGACGGACGAATAGGACAATGAGTCTCCTCCAGCGGGTCCGCCGGTCGCTTGCGAGGCCAGAGAGGAACCAATGTGGACACTTTTAGGTCGCGGACGCGTCACCGATGCCGACCTGCTCTTCGGCCGCCGCTGAATGCTGCCGTTCGGAGTAGATCCTAAAAAAGAAAAAGCGAAATCAATTTATATTTAGTCAGATATTTTAAAAAAATATCGTGTATTCGATACGGATTGAGAAACGAAGTTGAATTTCCAGCTAAATTTGGCTTCAACCAACGCGCACTCGAAGTTTGTCCAGCTCTTCCATTCTGTTTTGAACTCACGACGCTCTTTATTTTCGAGAACTCTTAAGAAATTAACGAAACGCCATTCTGAGACACCCTAAGCTGTTTTTCTATGTTACTACGCCCGTATCTTTAAAATTATAACAACTACATGTTATCGTAAATACGAATAAGAACGGCGGTTCCTAAATAAAAACATGTTTCTTTCTCTCTAAAGCGCTTTTCATGGCTACCGATTGGCGACGAACAGCAGTGAATGATTGCCCCTACGAATTCCCTTTCTCCGTCTGAAGCATTAGGTCCCTCGGAAATTGGTGTTCGCTGACTTCTGTTATAACACAGATGATTATAATGTAGCGGATTATCCACCAATTCCTCCCAAACTAACTCTGATTTAATAGCGTTTTTCTTCTATGGCTATATAGCAAGCTAATGGTTGATCTAATAAAAGCAGAACGCTGTGACACTATTGGAGAAAGCGAGCACTTCAGGCTGTTTTACAGGAGCCCTTTCGAACCCTTGACGCGCAACCTATAACGAAGATCAAAGAAAGGCTGGTCGTTGACGCACGCTTCATCGTAGAGAACGACGTAGTAATAAAACATTGAATGACATTGCCAAGTAAAACCAATCACATAGTTTCTACATCCGCCGAATATCTACAATTATTATCATTATCTTTAGGATTGTTAATACCGTTGTCATTCATTATAAGATTAATGGCACCTATGGCATCAATTACCGATTGATATTATTGGCCACTGGTCCTGTGGGACCGTTTAGCTTCATAGAAAATGAAAATCGCTGAACGCTTTCTGTCCAAGCTGCAACATTTCAGTAGTAAAACGTCAAACTTACTGAAATTATTGTACTTCCCCCATACCGAAAAGAAAAAAACCTATAGATAAACTTCTGTCTGTATAAACACACAGGGTAACGCGTCACCGATTTCTGTTCTGCAGACCTGTAGCGTAGAGATCGTCATAGTAGCAAGTTAAATGCTTTGACAAGCATTTGATAGACAGAAGCGTCGTCTTGTTCTAATTAGCCCGAAGCAACAGTTATTGTCTATCGCGCACTCATTTTTGATAACCATTGCTTTTTTTGTTAAATTATTTTTGGCCTGCCATGAGTGTTGAGTTTCGCATGTTAAACTATCGCATTGCGCGTCTGTTTCGAACCCATTTTCCAAACGTAGCCCCGATACGAACAGCGATTTTTCGACATTGAGTATTGCTCTGACGTTTCATATTGTTTTTAAGCTCGAATGCTTCTTCTCGTCGTTATTCTGCGAAAACTATCAGTCAAGCAGATTGACTATGTCATCTATTGCGATCAATGATCGTGCGGTAACCGATACCTCGCGAATGAATGAACGCATGTATGAGTTAACTACGACTCATTGCGTAGGGTGGCGTGTGATTGATATGCCCAGAATTCGTACGTCGGCGGTTACCCGCTCCGAGTTGGAGTCAAAATTGAATCCGTTCGTCATTTTAATACAATGCCGACACAGGTCACTCGCTGCAAACGCAGAAAACTCATTAATTCTATAAATATCATTCACTGAACAAATTCACACCATCGGCTCGTAAACGACTCAATACTGTAATGAAACATCTTATAATTGCAAATCGGACACGCGGTCGAACGCTCCATCCGATGCCCCGAATGACGCTCAGCCATTAGAGGTCTCGTGGCTAGCTGTTCCGGCCGCCATCGCTATTCGAGTAGTTGTGACACCAATAATAAATGAATCTATTTTGCAGTGTGTTATTTTTTTTCTTCTGCCGCTTTACTCACGAAGTAAAACATTCATTGATTCACAACTATTTTTGTTGCTTATTGTTTCGATCGCTGCTCGCCACGCTGAAAAATACTTGACATCGAAACATGGCGTATAGTATGAATACGGTCACTGAACTCTCTGGGGCGTCCGATGAACGGCACCGTCAGAGCCGAGAATACCGCCAAAAGCCTCACAGCACAACGATCAAGAATAACGAAAAAGAACGTAGCATAATTTCGAACGCCACTGGCAGGAAGTAAATCTCGCATGCCCAGAATTATCAGTCTGCAGTATGGTGGGAAATTCGGCTTCCGGTTCGATGCAAGAAGTTGCCGAGAAGTGGAAAATATTTTGAGTATTAACATAGAGCTGCAGGCCTCTGTAATCGAAGTCACCGAAGCGTCAATGACAGCCTCCCAAAATATATTAGCAAACAATATTACAAATAAAAACAAACCTAGAGTACGACACTGCTTAGGAGGCTGAAGTTCAAACGTGCGTAATTAAAATCAATAGAATTAGTAGCAGAGATGCATCGTGGTGCAACGAAAATCTGTGCACTAAACATGTGTTAGTTAATTTCAATGTGGGCCGTTGTCGTATAACAGTTCAGTATATAAATAAATGGCGAACGTAATATTACCATGGTGTATACTATTACGTTATTCGAAATTATCACGTTACGTTTATAAATCTTTTCACTGCTAACTATAGCGTGCGTTATCTCACGGAGGTAGAATGATACTAAAGTGAGACATATATCCAATTAAAAACAGCGACGCTTTATGGGAACGCCTCGCACGAGTCGAGCCAGCAACGGGCAGAGTTGGATCGGAAAACAACAAAAAACAGTTATCATCGCTACTATTTTTATGAAAGCAGTAATAAAAGCAACAGTTAAGAGTTGTTAAAGACTCATGATTGATGGCCGGATTCCTAGATGCGTGACGTAATGCGATCGGGCACGGGGCCCTGACGGAATCAAATAGACACAATTATGCGAGCCAGAGTGAGGAAGAAAGGGGGAAACGCAGAGGAAGTACGTAACGACGAGGGACGAAAAGTGAAAGAAGCTATCTGCAAGAGAGCTATTACGTGTGGAGCTCAACTATATGGTTTTTGAGTGCATGATGGCGCATTCGATATATTTAGGTTTGTGCGATTTCAATTCGATTTTAGCTGCGATCAAGAAGAGCCACTGAATTTAGGTCCACAATTCAAGCATCCTGTACTCCCACAAATGTACGTTGAAGGTGCATATAGTATATGTTAGAGCTTCCTCTATTTGTTTTCTAACGGTGTCATTTGCAACAATAATTTTTATTCAAATGGCACCTAAGCTATTAACTAGTCACTTCTAAAGCTCTTTTGCGTAAATACCGTCTTATTAGTAATCGCAGGTATAAATTCAAGTGTCGCTTAATTCTAAGAAATTTTATTTTGAGCTGTGACGAGTCCATAACCACCAAAAATGCAAGTGCCTAACCAGAAGAACTGCTTTTCTAGACGAGTCATCTGACATTTGATATTTTCCGCTCAAAATAGCCGTTGGTTTCAATGGCACCAATTCGGGTCTATCAAGAACGGCATTTTCTGTCGCTTCGATCAACTTCTGAACCCTTCCTGCACGTGAACTCTATTGGGAACTTTCCGGTTCGCCTCTGAAACCTTCCTCGAATTTCCCGCAGTCACATAAACACCGACTGCACATTAGACTACTTTCGCCCAAAAGCAGCGGATTGTTTTTCCTCATGACGAGTTGGCCATTTTTTCGAGAAATAACTGGCTTTTCTCTAATACCAATGGCGGACAAGCGTATACCCGTTAGGTATAGGCCGCTCTGTCATGATGGCTCGACGAGTCGTGGCGTTCAACATTGATTCTAAAAATTTAATACAATATGCGCGCGCAGAAATTCCTTATGAGACCTGGACAGGTGACCTGCTGTAAAAACAATTTGCGCAAAATTTGAGTTGTGTCCTCGTTTGCAATGAACTCTGTTACTACAAATAGAATCGACTCATAAATTACTACGACGCGATTTAGGAATGATAGATATGGGAACAGATCCGAGTAGTGTTTTGCCATTACCACCGATACGCCCATATGCAAACAATCGAAGAGCTTACCGTGAACGCTATAGAAAAGCTTTAAACTGTGCGAGAATTGGAACGGCTGGAATCACAGTTTGATCCAGTGTATTTTCGATTGCTTAGAATAAGCAAATTGACATTAAACACCTCGGAGTATTAGAACTGGTCGGAACTGGTACAGTCAACGTCCGCGACGAAAGCCCTACGCGCATGCCCAAATTAAATATGACCCATTATTGAGCATCTGTCCTACTTTTTGTGGTTGTATGTGAGTGTATGCGCTATGTGTGTGAATGTGCGGGGTGTGTACTTGCACGTTCTATGGACCTTATATAACTGGTATAAATTCCAACTAAACAATTTTTCTCTAGGTAGATCGGGGGCGCAGCCTTCGCGATCATTCGAAGCGGAAAAGCCCAAGCCATGTTAGCGCGTTTATGGGGCACAACAGCAGTGACGAGCTGAAAAGATGTGTCACGCGTTAACGTTCCGCTACTACACCGAACATCACCGCGGCCTTATAAAAACAGTGACAAAATCAAGATAGAAGTGAACTGCAGCGACCATACGAGTCATCAACAATGACCATGACATATTGTAGCTCTGTTACCAAAGAATATTTCAGGAACCATAGAGAAACTCCCTGAAAAAAGCGCGCCTAGAAAGTTGGTTTGTTATTTGCTGATTCCATAGTGTAGTGTAATAAAGTGATACTTTCCAAGACAGCGTTCCATCGATACCCGGAGGGTAGCGAACGAGCACTAGTCGACTTAGCTAGCCACTGCCAGCTGAGTTTCAGGAAAACAACTACTATTGGATTTGTCTAAAAGCGCCGAAGACGACAACCGCTAACAATCAACGATATACGAAATAGTTCGACGGAGAGGGAACGAGTCAGTTCGTCACCCAAATCAGACCATCGATTCGACCCATCGGCGCGACGAAAATACGTCAATAGCCTCCGCGTCGGCCGTAAACATCGATCGTTTGAG